TTAAGAAACTATGTACGTGATATTGATATACATGTACTTGTCGATACGTAGGGCTTAGCCCCCCCCCCCCACTTTTTTGCAAAGATAGATATTATATAGGCATTGGAAATTGGGATTTACCTTTTTAGTTGGATTCAATTAGCCATCCCACTTTAAATTTGCTTCCGACGCCTATGTGATAAATAAAAAAGCGTATGTATACAAGTTTAGCAAAAATAATTGATGAAAGCGGGAAAAAGAAAAAGTTCAAAGGAGGGTGGGATGGGGGGGCACCAGTTAGGGTTGGATCCCCCTTTGGTTACTCTACATTTGATTAAAAACATGAAGGTAAAATGCCACCCCCTTCCTTTCACCTATTTTTTTTTCAATTTTAAATATGACGACAGGTGGAGGACATTGTCGTATAATATTCTCAGAATACGATCTCCCCGAAGCATTTTTTTTCATATATTCCCAAATGATTCTTATATATCAAAATGCTTTGCAATAAATCGTAGCTTTAATTTTAAAAAATGTTAGCAAGAACTGCAATATTAAGAGAAAATAAGCCCTACGCAATCAAAATCTAAATTAAATTTCTGCATCCCCTAAACAATTACTTTAAAATTATAGATACCTGCACGTCCACCTCAATCGGCATTTCAGTTGCGAATGCTTAAAATGGGATACTAAATCAACTTTCTGCAAAATCTATGTGATTGGTTGAGAGAAATATACATGTACCTAAATACGCATTTAATTTAGTGAGGTCATTAGAAAGGTCATGTCACAAGTCATTTAGAATACTCGTTTCCTACTGTATCGGAGATACAGGGCGGGGCCCGGCTCGAGCTATCGCTCTCGCCTCAAGCCTCGCCCTGTACATGTATCTCCGATACAGTAGGAAACGAGTACTCTAAATAATACATATTACATACGTATTTGCTATGTGTATTTCAATATTTTCAATGTAATTAAATGGCTTTTTTACTACATTTACTTTAATTTACATGCATAAATGTACATAACTATGAAAAGTAATTACCAACAAGGAAAAAAATCTTGTTGATTTCATTTAAGTTATTCTCTGAAATACTCACACAAAACAATTGCCATTTTGAGCTAATTAACACATTTCAAATTTAAACGACTAAATTTTCCGAATTTAAGTGATAATATCACTGTTCAATTGACATTTTACATGGCTGCACTCTGCTCAGTAAGATATTCACAAACCCTTTCTCCTGTGTAAACGACATTAAGAAATAATTTGAAAAAGAAATGAATATCCGCCATTTTGAATCGCCATTTTGACTTTAAACTTACAGCTGCATCCTCATTAAGTTGTAGAATAGTAAGATATAGAGGAAAAAATACAAATCTGCAGTGTTTGGATTATTTCAAATGTAAAAGCCTGAACAAAGAAGAATATAGAAACAAAAGACAAAAAAATTAGAGAAAATTCGAATTAAGAGTAGAACGACTAAATTTTCTGCGTTAAACTAATAATGTTAGAATTCTATTATATCTTTAATAGTTTTATTACACTCAGTAAGATATTCACTCATTATATCTCCATTTTGAACGACATTAAGAGAAAATCAGACAAATCGGATGTCCGCCATTTTGAATCGCCATTTTGACCTATTTAACGCCATTTTCATGAAGGCCAGCATATTTTTTCGGATTCAGCATACTCGAATTAGGTTAAAAAACTATGCTGGACCAAATAATTATTTGCCGTTAGAAGTTATTTCTAGCCTTCTTTTTAAAAATCAGGACCAGACTACTTCTATCTACTAAATTAAAGCAATCTTTAAAAATCTTCTTCGCTCCTAACAAGCCAACAGTCGAACTGTTGGCATGATCGAATCAGCATTGAGTCCTCTACCAAAATTATGAAATTCGTGGCTCCAGGGTCAGGGGTTCTAGTGCTAGGGTGGGACTGAATAGATTTATAGTGAAATTGCATTATTTCTTTGAAAAAATTTTTCTCTGTTCACATAGCAATACATTAAAAATATCGCAATATATCGCAATACAAAATCTTCGGACTATACCCAGCCCTATATATCATCTTTTTTGAGCATTGGAAAAAAACTCATACATGTATATCATCTTTTAGATTGTTCTTTTTGCTTGCAAGACAGTGTAACCTGAAGAACAAGAGACCCACGGGCCGTATATGTCACCTGAATATCAGGTAACAACTTTTCCGTTTGCGCTTTAAACCAGAGGCCATGAAATTCACAATTTTGAAAGAGGCACCATTGCTTATCATAATTATACACTTAGCATGCTAATTTTAGTTACTTAATACCCAGGCGTAGATCAGAGTAACAAAGAGAAAACGCACTTCCACTTTATAACCAGTTGTGCACCCCACTACACAGGAACAACTGACACTGCATGAAGCCAAATATTTCAAAATTTTGGAAATTTTATCATAAATTTTATTTCATCATAAATGGTTGTTTAATACCAAAGAGCAGATTTCAAAGCATTAATTTATTTTCAAACTATGTGACATCCCCCCCCCCCCACCACCGATACCCCTGACACAGGGAGCATGAAATTAACCAATTTGCTAAATGCACTTTTCTTCGTCTTAAATAAAATAATTATTTACTTGGATCATTGGCATAATACCATGGAGCAAAGGAAAAGATTTTCAAATAAGTAATATATTTTCGCTATATAATTAAAAGAGCCCCCCATCCCCACCCCCTTTACACCAAATGGCAAAACCCCTGACCCAGGGGCCATGAAATTCACAAATTTGGTTGAGGCACTCTTGCTCATTATAAGTTTATACCGGTATACTAAAGTTAGTTTATTTAATACCCAGGAGTAGAGAAGAAGATTTTCAAAGAATTAATGTATTTTCGCTATATAGAGCCCTACCCTTACATCAGAACCCCTGACCCTGAGGCCATAAAATTCACAATTTTGGAAGAGGCACTCTTACTCATCATAACTATGTACTCAGTTTATTTAATACCCGGGAGCAGAGAAGAAGATTTTTAAAGAAATAATGCATTTTCACTATATAATCTATATAGCCCCACCCTAGCACTAGAACCCTTAACCCAGGAGCCATGAATTTAACAATTTTGGTAGAGGACTCAATGCTTATTACATTCATGCCCACAGTTTGACTGCTTGACGTCAAGGAGTAAAGAAGAAGATTTTTAAAGATTACATTAATTATAGTGGTTTTAGCTCCACCCCCCACACCCCAGTGGGGAGGGACCATGAAATTCACAATTTTTGTTCTCCTGCACCCATAGATGCTGTATACCAAATTTGGTTGAAATTGATTCAGTGGTTTCAGAGAGAAGAAGCTGAAAATGTTTAATTGTTAACACACGACACACAACGTACAATGACGGATGAAAATGGATAGCAATAGGTCACCTGAGTGACTCAGGTGACCTAAAACAGCAAAAATGTTCCCCAGCACCAAAAAGCAAAAAAGACCCTCTAGCTTTCAGTTTATCTACCCTACAGATGATTGTAGCTAGTTTTCATTTCTAGTCTGAAATACGAGGGGCGTTCAATAAATAATGTCATTAGCTCGATGACATACAACATAGTAGTCATATGACATAAAGCTTGACTTTCTCTCATTATTGAATCTTTAATGAACTTATAACAGTTTATGTGACCACTTTTCATCACATAGTTTTATCGTGAGAAGCTGGGAAACAAGGGCTATTCGAGACACTGCATTATAAATGAATGTTAAAGAATCAGTAAACTAAAGTGAAAATAAAAGCTACATTAAAGCTGCTGTAAAACTTGTAAAAAATCCCAAAGAAATATTCACTGAAATATGTGATATTTACAGCAACCGATGCCTGTTTTATGGACAAATTAGCAGGTGGATTTCAATGATAAAAAATTATATAATGGGCATCAAAAATGGGTACCCTCCTTGCCGACAAAAATTATAACAACTTACGTACTGTTTGCCAAATTTCAACAAATAATATTTGATCTTGTATGAATGACTTTAAGACACATAGCAAATTTGATAGACATCATATCGGGAGTAGTTTACACTGTTTTTAAGAAACGTTTGACAGTAATTAAGCTTGGTACTCTAAGGTCACCCTGTATTTTGAAAAATGAGTGAAAACGACAGCCTGTACCAAAGTCTTAATAATTACTTTAAAATATCAGTGATTGTAGTAATCCACGTTTGTTTTTTATTCAGACAGATATTGGAACATGAATCTATTGCTTAAAACCATTAAAACAAAATTTAACATAAGATGTACTTGATAAAAACGGCGAAGGTCTGTCAAGAGCAAAGGTCTGCAAGAGCACAAAAACAGATTATTATGCAATTTTCTTAAATATGTGTGGTATTATTGTTCAAATTCGTATTCGGGGAGACAGTTTAATATCTGGAGGTGTCTACAAAGCAGTTTTTTTGCAAAGAAATCGGAAGGTTTATCAGAGAAAGGACCCAGAATCAGGAATCCACTACATTGAATTTCTTCATGACAGCGTTCAAACCCGCATGCCCTAAAGAGTAAAGGGGTTTACGGGATAAACAGAAAGTTAATGTTTTTTCACATTAACAATATTTGCCAGATCTTTGACCTTTTGTCTTGTTTCTATTTCCAAACTTGAAAAAAACACCTTTCAGAAGGAAAAAACAAGTCCAGGAAATCATTGGATCTGCCATTTTCCAGTATACTAAGGGTCATACCCAAAAATGAGTTCTAAAAACAATCAGAAATTGGATAAAAAATGTTACGGACATGTGTTTGAATTAAAAGAGATTAATAAGTAAAATCATGAAGACTAAATCATTGAAAAGCGTCGTTTGCTTCTTTCTGAGCCCCAATGACATTATTTATTGAACGCCCCTCGTACCTGTATATGTTGCACTTGCAGAAAAAGTTTTTGAATACAAAATCTCTGAGCATTGAGGCTGGAGAGTCCATAGGATATGCCATTGAAATATAACATATCTTAACATCATGAACTATGGTTAAGGTCTACATGAATATACAACAAAAATAAGCTTGAAGAATGCAGAAACTCACTATGGAATCCATTCATTTGACTCTAATTCTCATCGAGTATTCTTTTTGCACATATTTACAATGTGTTTAAGATTTTTTTTTTTTAAATAATGTAAAATTATGATTGTTTAAAAATAAGATGTTGCTGTTTTTTGTAAATTGATTATCTTCAAAAGTACATGAGACATTTCACTTTGAGTAAAAACTTAGTTATAAATCAACTACCAATAAAGTAAATTTTCATATAATTAAACAAATCCTCATTTTACAATCAGACAAACATCTAGTACACAGAACACGGCACGACATGTTGGACATGGGGAGGTGCCTGACATCCAGATTTCTGGTCTTTGTTGGTCCTGGCGACTTGCGTACCACTTCCCCATGCATTCTAAGCACCACATGGGGCGGCAGTAACACTGTACACACTGTCCTGGGCCGGCACTGTCACACAACTTCACAAGCTTAATGTCGGACTCCTTCTGCATACACCCAATACAAGTATCTGCCTCCTGGAATATTTTTTTAAAAAATTATAAAATTTGATTCTCATTTAAATCTTCTCAAGATTACCTTATACCATGAATGAAGTGATCTTTACATCAGCTATACTTCATCTCATACACAACAAAAAAATGTCATTCCTTGATGAAATAATCCAAAGTCAATTTATTCTTAGAAAATAAAATTCTTACTTTAACTGGATGAATGGAGCACACTGACTCCTTCAGAGTCCTTCTTCATATTACATTATATAACTGTTGGTATGATTTTACAGGTGCTTTTCCATTCCTTCTGGCATATTAAAGCCTTGTTTCAGACTGACTTGGTGCCTTACCATTCCTTCTGGCATGTTAAAGACTTGGTTCAGACTGACTTGATGCCTTATCATTCCTTCTGGCATGTTAAAGACTTGGTTCAGACTGACTTGCTGCCTTACCATTCTTTCTGGCATATTAAAGCCTTGGTTCAGACTGACTTGATGCCTTACCATTCCTTCTGGCATGTTAAAGCCTTGTTTCAGATTGACTTGGTGCCTTACCATTCCTTCTGGCATGTTAAAGACTTGGTTCAGACTGACTTGATGCCTTACCATTCCTTCTGGCATGTTAAAGCCTTGTTTCAGATTGACTTGGTGCCTTACCATTCCTTCTGGCATGTTAAAGACTTGGTTCAGACTGACTTGATGCCTTACCATTCCTTCTGGCATGTTAAAGCCTTGTTTCAGACTGACTTGGTGCCTTACCATTCCTTCTGGCATGTTAAAGACTTGGTTGAGAATGATTTGGTGCCATCCCATGGAAAAGTGAACTGCCTATATAGGCAGTTATTAGGCAGTTCTTTAGCAGTTGTAGAAATTTTTAACAGTTTTCAAACAGTTTTAAGCAGTCTGGTTTTTATTGCTCTTAAGTAACTGCTAAGGCGTTGGGAGTAAACAGTTTTCCTAAGCAGTTTTTAAGCAGTTACCAGTTTCCCTAGCAGTGCTGCACATGCTTGAGGACAAGACAGATTTCCTAAGCAGTTTTGTTAGCAGTTCAAAGTGGTTTCCTTGTATAATTTGATTGGGTTCAAGAGAAATTTTAATGTTGGGCTCAATATTCCAACAATTATAATCAACAGGAACCTAGCTTACAACTGCCCGCCAAATTTTTGAATTCTGCATGGCTGCCATGTGTATTGTTGGACAAAAGGCTATTAGCCAATACAGGGGGAGCCTGCTGGCCACAAAGCTGGAGATCTATTGAAATAATGATGTAGATATTTAAACAAGTGGTAAGTACAATATATATGTGCATCATGGCTTTGAATGAATCAAACTATGATCGATATATTGTAACGCCCGGTCCAGTGAATTGACAGATTATATACCGGTAGTTTTATACAGAGTTGTGTTTTAGGGTTAAGGAATTAGTATGAGTTGGGTGTTTTGAATTTAGATTAAATAATTACTTTTTAGTTTTATTAATTTGAGAAAAGCCAGGGTTATTTTAAGGATTTTGGAGGAACTTTTGCAATATTTGTGGAATTTTGTAGGAATTAAGTTTTGATCAGGTTTAAGTAATTTTGACTGAGAAATTAGACTTGGTTAAAATTTGCTGGTTGTTTGCATTTGTGATAAATTGCTGATTAATTTTAGAATTACTTGTAATTGTTTGGGTAATCTAAATTATACATTTAGCTAATTTTTTTTGCTAGTGTATTTCTAAATTTTGCTAATGTTTTTAACTGGAATTCAGACTTAGGAAAATTTGATAAATAATTAACTTACAATTTTGTTGTTTAACTGTATTTCATGGATTATTATTGTTTTATGCCAAGTTGGAAATATTTTAGCCATATTTTGGCAGGGTTTCAATTTAAAATTGTATGTTTGTGTATCAGTGTCAGCATCATCATCATTGCTTTGAATATTCATTAGACACAACCATAAATGGAAATGGATTAACAGTTCTGAAGTAGTTATTTGCAGTTTCAAGCAGTATTTTTAAACTCATTTAAATATTTCGCTGAAAATAACTGCTTCAGAACTGGTTAAAAACTGGGAAGGCTAAGAAAAACTGCCTTGAACCGCCTATTTCTATGAATATTAAATCAACTTGTTTGAGGGACATGGAAGGCTAAGGGAACTGCTAATAAACTGCTTAAAAAATAAAACTGGGAAGGCTTAACAACTGCTAACAAACTGCCTTCCACTTTGACATGGGATACCGTTCCTTCTGGCATGTTAAAGACTTGGTTGAGACTGACTTGCTGCCTTACCATTCCTTCTGGCATATTAAAGCCTTGTTTCAGACTGACTTGGTGCCTTACCATTCCTTCTGGCATATTAAAGCCTTGGTTCAGACTGACTTGCTGCCTTACCATTCCTACTGACATATTAAGAGTCATTCTCTGTAAGCATCAAAATGGGCTGGAAATTGATTTTTACAGATTTTGATGAAACTTGGTGAAATAACTACATTATAAGCCCGATTTACAAAAATATTATTGAAAGTGACCAATTGGTCTTGTTTCCATGGCAACCAGGTTACCTGTTTTTGCACAAGGGTGGAAAATACCTAAAATGATATTTCTTCTCATTAATGTACATTTAATTAAAAAAGGTGATTATTATTATTTTTTTCCATTGAAATAATTTGTTATTTGTATTTTCTAAACAAAAAAGTCGAAAAAAAATTTTGGACCTGCCGTTAAATGCCAAATAACATAGAAAATTGCTTTAAAAAAGGGGGGGGGGTGAACATAACAATGTACATAAAAAACGCAGGCACTGGTGGAATATTCTGATGCTCTGAATTTCACCTTATACATTTATGAAGAACATATGAAAAAACTGGAGAGGTATTATTTACTTTAAGAAAATAAATTGATGGTAAAGTTTGTAAAAATCTCTAAATTTACACACATTTTTTTCAAGAGTTATTTCCCCTTTCGGAAATCTTTTGCTTCAATCATTGAAAATGAAAGTGAAAGTACACAGCAGAAAACAACTTTGAGGAGTAAATACTGTCTCTTTTGGATATTTCACGGGTTTTAATCCAATTTGTGAAATATTTATCATTACTTATAGTTAAACTGTTAAATGATTGTTCAGGCTTTACTGTGTCTGAGAGATATACATGTTTGTGTATAAGATGTGAATGTGATAAAATTGCATCCTATGAAATTCCTGCTTATGTGACAAGTGCTGCATCATTGAAAAAAAAGTGTTTAAAAACAAAGTATCGTCAGTTAAATGGACTTCAAAGCTAAGGATGGGATAATAAGGTTGTGATGAAGTAATATACATGGCAATAAGAAGATAACTTTAGATCTACAGGCAAGTACCAATTAAATATTTACCATGAACATTGAAAGTTGCACATATTTTGTATGAGTTTATTAATAACAGGGTATGACTATTGATTGTAAAAATAACATTTAAGTACCCAAGCATAAATAATGATATGATTCTAATTATATCAATAATTTATAGTTTAGGCAAATTATCAATGTTATTAAAATCAGATGTTGATGAAAATTATATAAACCTTCTGTTGATAAAAATTATACTTTATAATCCCTATTACCGTGGTAACTGCCCCGGGCACTTAGAAAATTGCGAAGAGGGGCGGTTATTTTGGTATTCTCTTTAATGTCAATTTTTAACTTCAAAAATTTTAAAGACCACTAAAATAATGTCTAACTTTACTTTAAGTGAAGATAATCTACCCAAATTATGCTATATGATTCATTTTCCACGAGATATTGGATAATAGACAAGTTACATTTTCACTTTCTTCAAATTTTGGTATACTTTTGATACCATTCTAGATGATTTTAATCACTGTACAGAGGGCCCTTATTTTCTGATAATTGAAAAAAGACCTAGGGGGCGCTTATAGGGGCAGGGGCACTTAATAGGGATTATACGGTATAATATGTTATTAACCAAATTAAACTAAAGCAATTCTGTATATGACAAAAGCTAAATACCTCATAACAGCTTTTTAATTGTGTGCTTGAAAAAAAAAGAAGGGGGGGGGGTAAAAAGTTATTGCCATGCAAGGTATTTCATCAATTTTTAAAAGAAGTAATTTCATTTATTTATCATTTTTTAAAATTAATTATTTTTGTTTTATTTTACATGTTGACCTTATGAAATCACATCACTAAACTGAACACGTAACAAAACTGCAATTTTCTTTTAGATTTCAACTTATTCAGGGCTGAAATTTGTTGATGCAAATTTTTTTTGAATGGGGATCGATGATCGTGGGTGAATGTGCCCTTTCATTTGGGAACTTGAAGTTAATGCAAAAAATTGAAAGAACTTATAGATTTATCTCTTTAATGTCAGATTAATTTATTGCAACAAAGAAAAAATATATTATTTAATTATTAAGATTTTTTGTCATAGCAAACGCTGTCACAGTTGAATTTAAGCTAAATTTATACAATGTGTACACTTTACTGAAACAATATATAATGAAGGAATACAGGTTTATAGGGAAATATGGCAATTTTCAGTGGAGAGGAGTTCCTTTTACGTACATGCAGACATTGGAGATATGTAAAATGGTCGTTGTTGAAATCATAGATTTATGTGCCCAAATCTTTTTCTCTCTGAGAGAAAAAAATATTATATTTGATTTTGTCATATTTTATGAGGACATCTCAGTATTCCATTTATCACAGACTTTATGTTCTGGAAAATATTTTAAAGAAGCTTTCCAAATAGTTTTAGATAAAAATACTTTATTTAAAAAATATTGATACAAATAAATCAAGCCCCCCCCCCTCTTTTTTTAACATATTAGAGGAGGGGTGGTAACATTTTATTGCCCCCCCTCTCACTTTAACCCCCCAGAAAACTATTTCAGATAATAATATTTTTCCTATCATATATCGATGTATACTTAAGAATTTAACCCTCTCTACACTGCACACCAAAGAGTTCTGATTCTATGGTATTTTTTGCAGTAAGAGTGATCTGCCCTTAGAACTAAATTCTAAAATTTAGAAATTCACAGTATATTACACAAATTGTAATGAGTTCAAGTATTCTTTACATTTTAATAAGTCAAGATAAATTAATTGAACATGTAATTTACATACTAGTATTTTCTCCATGGAAGTATACAGCAGTGATTTCTATCTTTCTTTCTAACACTTATACTGTGTTGTGTTTGATTATTTTTTCTGGGGGTAAATGCCACGCACCATGGAATGAATATTATATGCTTTCCACCTAATTGTACTTTCCCTTATACTTATTTTAACCTCGGTGCCTTAATGAGAAAGAACAAAATCACAAAATCTTTAAATTACATACTGAATTTTGATTGTCATTCTTAATGTACGTATATGAAAGACACTTATGTCTGCTGGGAAAACTTCAACGAAATTTTTTATATATGGAACGGACTCACGGATAAACAGGAAGTTGACATAGATTTAAACTCAAATGTTACCCACCATGCATATGGCATGCCTTAGCAAATACTGTGCTAAAATTTCAAGCATCTTCAATGAATAGTTGCTGAGAAAACTGCAACCAAACATTTGCTACGTACAGACACACAGGCAGCTAGCCAGACGGACGGACTGACACACAAAAGTAAATTAGTATACCCCCCTCTCCTTTGCAGCGGTGATATAATGATTCCTTACGAAAGGAACAGCAAAAGATCATTTCAACAACAGCAAAAACAAGTTGAATCGAGGACAATGGGGGGGGGGGGGGCACTCTTGACTATGTGCTTGTCCTACTTAAACTAAGAAGTGCATGTACATGTTAAAACGGGTATATAAGTTTCAATTAATAAAGCAAATTGCTTCCAAAAGATCGGTCATGATTTTATGTAGGTATTTATTGTTTCCATGGAAACAAATCCTGCTGCACTAATTCAGATATATGTGATTAGTTTAAGTTTGAGTTCATCTGTTTTTGTCCCGGTAAATAAATTAATTAGAAGATTAGTATAATCAAACATTGGTGGCAGTGCTATGAGTTTTGTATACTGGTACATCAATAACTAGATATCATTGAGATGGTGGCCATCTCAAAGGGCCCCGCTTTCAACAATGAACTTGAAAATGTAAGGTAATTTAAAAGGGTTTATTTTGAAGAGGAACGTTTGTGTAATACAGTAAAAGCCATTTAGTACGACTTCACGGATATTGCGAATTTACAGATATATATCGAAGTTATCTTGTATCCTCAGTTATATAAATTTACTGGAAATAAAGGAAAAAAACTATACACCGAACAAAGATTTAAACAGAGAGGCTAATTCTGACCATGACCTAGAAACTTCTACCAAGGTCACTGCACATCCACTAATCAGTGGAAATCTGTGAGTGAAGTAAAAGCCAGATTGGGCCAAGGAGAGAGAAGATACAATGCTCCGGACAAGGATTTTTCTTAAAATCTGCTATGACCTTGATCCTTGACCTAGAAACATGGTTCAAGGTCACTGCACACCGGTTTCCCAAAGGCAGTCTGTAGGTGAAGTATAATCCAGATTGGGCCAAGGAGAGAGAAGATATGCTCCGGACAGGAGATCTCGAACGGACGGACGGACAGACTGATCACTATAGGGCGCCCGCCAAGTAGGGCCCTAATTATTTGGATCATTCCTGAATTATTAGCAATTGGTTACCATAGCAACTGTTTTCTTTTAAAATTATAAATGTCTATTTTCATGTAAGTGAAATGAAAAGGTTTATATGGAATTGAAGAAGACATATAATCGTGCAATAAAGCAGAAGACTATCTCTATTAAACATATCAATGAAAATGATTTTCCTGATCTATTGGCTGCCGTAGCAACCATATTTTAAAATAAATTATGAATTAATATTTTGATATTTAGTGAAATACATTTAAATTCAATTTATTTTTTTGAAAAAGAAAAAAAAAACATGAATGAAGCTTTTTTTATTATCCGTTGTATACTTGTCAGTATCACAAAATTGTTATAGCAACCATTATAAGGAAGTGTTAAAAAAAACTATCGGGTTACCATAGCAACGTGATTTTAGACGCTTGAATTTTTTTTTAAATGAAGATAAGTGAAGTAACAAATATAATAAGTGTTATTTATTTAATTGAAAAATTAAATCATACACTGAGGCCACAGATTCTGGATAATGATAACGTCAATAGCTATTAAGGCTATAGTGATTTTTCCTGACTTTTTGGTTGCTATAGTAACACATTATTTTTGTTTAATTTATGAACTTACATTTATATCATGATATTTTAAAATTATGATGTTTAGTAGTGTGATTTGTTTTACTTTGATTTTTTTAAAGTAATAATGTACAAAAAGGAGCCAAATGTTGAATCTACAAATTAATCCAAAATCTCTATAGCAACCATTTTCGTTTTCGTTTTATTTTATTTTAAGAAATAATACCTCTCTAGAAATTTTATATTTTGTTAAGTAAGGAATGACCTTTTCAGTGATGGTAGTTGTTTTTTATGGATTGCCCGCGTTTTCTTGCTACTATGCTTAGAAAATGCCAAAAATTGGCATTTTTTCAAATTTGTTAAAATTTGAAAAATTCACACTTTTCACTGCAAGACAACTCTTTTATGACCAACTACTGAATAATTTCATCAGTTGTGGTAGTTACTCCAACAAATAGTCTATCAGAGTAGGCAACAATTAAATCTGTAAATAATATGCAGAAAATAGAAATTTATGATGAAGATGGTATACTTTCAGTAGGTTGCTCTGTATTTTTGGCCTCAAAATGGTGGTTTTGGTTACCATGGCAACCGGGACTCAAAAGAAAAAATTAACCCCAAAAATGTTCTATACATGGTGTTTCTACATTGCATGCAAAAAATCAGCCAAATCTGTGATGTACCATTTCCAACTTTTTTCTAAATTCTTTGATTCTTACAGAGAATGACTCTTAAAGCCTTGTTTCAGACTGACTTGGTGCCTTATCATTCCTTCTGGCATGTGAAAGACTTGGCTCAGAATGACTTGGTGCCTTACCATTCCTTCTGGCATATTAAAGCCTTGTTTCAGACTGACTTGGTGCCTTACCATTCCTTCTGGCATGTTAAACACTTGGTTAAGAATGAGTTGGTGCCTTACCATTCCTTCTGGCATGTTAAACACTTGGTTGAGGCTGACTTGGTGCCTGAACGCCTCTAGGAACTGGTCACTGAGGGATTGCTTTATTACTATGTTCCTGGCATTGACAATAGGAGTTGTCAACTTGTCTTTCAAATCTCTATACTCTAAGGCATTCAACCTGAAAAAGTAACAATAAATGAAAGGGAAACTTCATAAAATCTTTAAAATGAAGGCACTTTATCTACAGAAAATATTTTGTTACAGAATGTATTTCAGATGTGGCAGTCAGGAAAGTTTGGTTTCTGGTGACCATCAAAATCAATTGGTATAACAACAGGCTAGTAAGGGTGGGGGGAGGGTCCTGGCCTTCTCCATCACTTTTCTCTACGACAAGTTACCCTTGATGCTGACTGCCGTACCCTAAAGGTGAAATGTGGAAGATATGGAAGGATCTGCCACAAAAGATTCTGGTACAAATAGGAGTAAAGACCTTAAAGAGGGAGGAATATGGCAGTCAGGCACTGGGTTTGTCCACCAGTAGCACCTCTGTATTTGATGTGTGTGTCTGTTGTCTGTGTTTTTTTCAGTATTGATCCCTTTATACTTCCTTGCTATGTAAGGGGGGGGGGATATTATATCAGTTATATATAGACTTTGTGTTGATATCCTTGTTATTACAGTTGAACTTCGGTATCTCGAACTCCGATATCTCGAATACCATGGATATGTTGAAGTGATTTGGAAGTCCCAACCACTTATTCTTTAAGCATTTAACCTTCGATATCTCGAATCCTCGGATATCTCAAAGTTTTATCTCAGTCCCATCAGGTTCAAGATAATGAAGTTTGACTGTAAATGTTCATTAAATCTTTATTTCAAATTATGTGTTTCAGGTATAATTAATGTACAGGTTCAGGTTATAATTTGGTCAACTATAGCAACACAAAATATGAAGTGCGAGCTTTATGAACACCAGACATGCTACAACTGAACATATTTTTATGTCATATTTCAATAGTTATATCTATCTGTTTTTGCAAAACAACTCACCTGATTGTAAATGGCTTGAGTTTTGGATTGATACTTATAACATTAAACTTGAGGAATTGAACAGATGTCATACTTTCATAATGGATATCATGCTCCTCTGATTTGGATAGGGACAGGTGTATATCATTCTGATGGGCAATATACACATAGTAGGTGGATGTTTTCATCACCCATGAGTCTGTCACTATCACTCTACGCCCTGGGGCACCTGTTGTGAATTTATCTACCCTCCGAAATTCTACGTTAATGGAAGAAGCCACAGCTCTCCAAGAGGTTCCATTCCCAAGCAATGCCAGTTCTTTTGCTATGGGATGGCTGTTGTATTTATTTCTTGTCCAAAGATAAAAGAGTAGGGATGTTGTCAAAATAATTAGAATGCAGGAGACTAGATAACTCTGCCATAGGAATCCTAGCTTCCAAGGAGTAAACAAACCAAGGTGTGGAGAAAACAACCCTAGTCCTATGTAGTACCCTGAAATAAAAAAAATCATTAGAGTTAAGAAGATTCTGCATTTCAAAAGGTCAATAGAGAATCAAAAGTAATTTTCATCATCAGATGCCCTTTGCAGTTATGGCATGATTGATAAATATACATGTATATTGTTACATTAACATGCTAACCAGTTTGTGTTACATACACATGTAAACAAATGCTGCATTCTTCTCTCAAGTCCAAGTACTTATTGACTTAAGACAAATGGATAGATAAGGCTTAATTCTCTGCTAACTTCTCTAAACAATTGTACTGTTTTGATCATGGGATTTACGGTATCAACTGACAATATACTACAATGTATTAACTAAACACAGGGCCCACCATGCTTTCTTTTCTTGATCACATCTACACTACATAATATGCAAGTATGTAATCTATAGTGTACAAGTGGTCAAAAAATAGAAAAACAAATAAATAAAATTAATATGGCGAGCCCCTTTGCAAAATGACATTAATTTAGGTTTTCAACGACAACAAAAAAAAACTAGTAAAAATCCAATTGTAATTACCTAACGGCAGTAGTGAATGAATAAGTAATGTGATTGCTGTCCTCTTCATGTGATATTCAATAAAATGTAACTGTTCGCTGCCAAGATAATTGGATAAAACATTCTGTATTGTCAAACCTGCTGAAACAAATTCAGTTGGAGGTGCAACAAAACAAAGCACAAAAAACAAATATCCTATGGTAAAGATGACATTTAAAGTTTCTTCATTGCCCATCGTTCCTGGGAAAGATATATCCACATGTGACAAAAATTGTAAACACTGACGAAACCTACTTTCACTTTTGGTGCATAGGAACTCTTTAACGTTGAAGTCAAGAAAAGTAAACAACATGGCGACTTCCATTGGACACGAACTCAACGTTGAGATTAGTTTCGAGAATACTAAAAAGGTAACAATGTCGATTCTTATATTGCTATTTCGATAAACATGATCCTCTTGTTGAGCATCTTTTAGACTGGTTAACTCTAACGAATTATTTAAAACAAATATAATTGAAAATGAAATCCTTTTTTCGAGGAAATTCGAAAAATATCATTATCTACAGCTGTAACAATAATATGTTTTCTGTTAGATTTTAACATATACTTTAGGGAACAAAGGACAGATAGTCACATGCCTCAGTATAAATACGTCATAGTCTCTGATAATATATGTACAAAACCTGATTGAAACCACAGTTCTTGTATATATATATTTTTTTGACTTTTTCAATATTATCATCATAATCACATATCACACAGGCTCAGCAATATGCATATTTTTTAATTCTGCTGATTTCAGCTATTTTTTATTTGTATTTCAATGAAATTATTCAAACACACTGACACCTAGGGAAACACATAATGCACCATTATAAAACCAAGTGCCTGTGTGGTTGAACTGTCAATGGATATAAACATTCTTTGCTAATATTCTATACTACAGCTTTAAATTTTTGACCGTGGTGAAAGTGAGCATAAAACCTCATAAATCATTTCCAATCATAGCCCTTTGCTTCAGGGAAAGAAGGCCGTGAAGCTGAAAAAATACTTGTCGTTTAATTTTTTTCATATTTTGTATGTTTCTTATTAAGTACCGTATAACTGGTTTTTAATGCGGGTGCAAATTTTTGCGATTTGATCCTGAAATAGGTATATTTATTTTTTGCGATTTTAATTTTTGCGATTTCACTTTGACAATAAAGTTTATTGAATTTTATTACTAGACATTTAAACAATAAAGTCTATTTTTATTTTTTATTGAACAAACCAAAGCAATTTAAAATACAGGTGACTCTCGATGGCTTGAACTCCGATCTCTCAAAGTGAACCTCCGATCCCGTTTTTTTCCTCTATATAACTAAGCAAATTTATTCCTGATCTCTCGAACTTCTCTATCTCTCGAACCAAAACCTGGGTCCCTTTACACATATTTCATTGAATTTTACTCTCTATCTCTCGAAGTTTTGATTGCACTTGTATACACGCCAATCAAGCATAAAATAGATGCAGTCTGGACTTACCTGGAAACAGTAAAGGCCTTGGGCTGTTAATTGGGTGTTTACATAGATGACACTACACCTGTGGGTCGTCCGTGAGTTGTTATACTTAATGGGTTATTATTCACAGGGTAAAGTAGAAACAAAGTCACAATTATTTTGAACTGAAACCGAGACGATAATTCTTTGAAATTAATTTATAGAAGTTCGTTTCAGTAAGTTCCCATAGACTATGAACTTTCATTTATGATTATAAAGAGTTTATATAATCCCAATAGGGGAAATATTACACAAGAAATTCTTTTCTCAAGGACAGAATACCGATTAAGAAAAAATCTGGTAAACACTGGTGAAGGACCCGATCAAGCCGCGGAATAGCCAAACCGACAATTGCTATTCGGGTTTCATATAAATAAATCATGAAATACAATGTAGGAACAAATAAATATTGAATCTTTAGGAATTCGTTTTATTTATTCGAAAAACGTGCAATGGCATTATTTACATATACTTCCGGTATCTGTAAAAGTAGAACTTCGATGATCGCAACTGTAAATTCCGGATTTTATTTACGTATTTTTTGCGATTGAATTTTTTGCGATTAAGACTTGATCGCAGAATTTCGCAAAAATAGCACCCCGTAGAAAAATCCAGTTATACGGTATGTCCCACATACCTTAAAGCAGTTATATCAATAGGTTTCTAGCCTTATTTTTTGAGATATTTAGTGACAATTACTATAACTGTTTGTATTACGGTTACCGTTGTTTTACTGTTCATCTGGAATTTAAATAACTTGAAAGTTCATGATCATTAATGATTTTTAGAAAATTGTTAATAATGGAAAATTGTTTTTCTTGACCTCTAGGGCAAAAGTTTGATAGCAAAACAGAATTTTGAAGAAGGAGATGTTTTATTTGAAGAGAGACCTCTTGTCAGTTCTCAGTTTCTCTGGAATGAGTTTTACAAATACAAGGCGTGTGAATACTGTCTACGCTCACTGGAGACTGCGGAAAAGCAGAGTCAACGATTGACAGAAAACGAAGCACTGACATTACCCTACCCTGAATGTGATGAAACAGATCCTTCACAGTATACTGATTGTCCACATTGTCAGGTAGTGTACTGAGTTCATTATTATACAAGGTTATTTCACCCTTTTACATTTGCAAACAATATTGCCAGGGGTAGTCATTAACTTTTATTTCCACTTGTCCTTCGGGCAAGTGAACTACAATTTTGACTTGTCCGAATGCAAAATTTACTTGCCCAAAATTTTTGAAGAAAAAAAACAGTTATTGTACCTGCATGGTGATGCTACATTTGTAAATGTACATGTATGTAAAACACTTTCCTGTCATTTTTAAAATTATCTTGAAAACACACAGAGTACTACAGGAATATTATTTTCTAGGCCTAATGATTTTGCTTGAAATTTTAATTTTTCCTCTATAAAAATGAGGTGAAGCCAGAAGGAAGAGAGTTGTTATGTTTTGAATCAAGATACATCGTGCATCGTAAATAATTGATGTTCTTCATATAATTCCTTAATTGGGTAGAGAAAGTATTCTGTAATCTCTATTTCATAATAAGACTGTAACGTAAGTTGTCAGACAGATAATCGTATTTTTTAAACTTCGAAGGAAAACAGAATAACAAACCCGATTTCTTATCCAGAAACGCTACCGAGGGATTCCGAATGCAATAACAATTTCCCGTTTTGGGCAGAAATCAAGTGTTTAATTCATTGTGTTGTTTATAAACTTATGTGAGATTAAAAAATGTTTCTATCAGAATTCCCAAACAGAAAAAACAGCCTATCGGATCATGCTAACAACTCATGTTTAAATCATGGTTTTGATATGATTTCGGTATAGGAAAATTTCACATGCAAATGAGCTAATGGATCATGGTTCTGAGATGATCTGTTAAACTAAACAACTAGCAAGAAAACCATGATCCTGGTATGATCTGTTGTAGCTAACAACTCGTATTAAAACCATGATCCTGGAATGGTCTGTTGTAGCTAACAACTCGTATTAAAACCATGATCCTGGTATGATCTGTTGTACCTCATAACTCGTATTAAAACCATGATCCTGGTATGATCTGTTGTAGCTCACAACTCGTATTAAAACCATGATCCTGGAATGATCTGTTGTAGCTAACAACTCGTATTAAAACCATGATCCTGGAATGATCTGTTGTAGCTAACAACTCGTATTAAAACCATGATCCTGGTATGATCTGTTAAATTGAACAACTCATAGGAAAATTCTACTTCTTATACAATTTAACTAAACGCTTTGATATTTGCAATAAAGTTCTCTTTAATATTTGACAAATAATTTCAGTTACCAAAAATTAAGAAAAAATATACACATATGTCACATGAACCATGACGTCATATAAATATAATTCCAACAAATGATCTTCCTTAATAAGATGACGATCTTAATATAAAACATTATCCAAACTATTCACTGAATTTTATAAGAACAGAATCACAGAAATCCATTCTTCTTTAAGAATAATCCCTAACTCATTGATATCACTGCTTATTTATGATTCTGCAAAAGCATATAATTACAACTTTTGTTCACTACAGAATCAGCAGAGTGGTGGATCTATTATTCAGAATCACAAACACTGAAAGGGCTCCCAATGAAGTAGTCTATCCTCTGATATGAGCTCTTTATATGTGTATATAAGCACCCTGAAAAGAAACGTAGAGAAAGTGGTATTTATTTATCGATCAACATATCATTTAGATCATGAAAATATGAAATATTCAAGTACTTTCCTCATTTCATTAGTGAAAAGAATTAAATTAATCACCAAAAGATTAATATTGTTGAAATGTAATATTATTTACGTACACAAATTTTGTCTTCAACAAAGGCGGGTCTTTTTAATTTGGTAATTTGAATGCAACTCAGATGTTAATCATGAAGATGGAAATGTCGGTAGCTGCAAAAGAATTTAATTTTTATAAATAAACATTTTGTATAGTGATTAACATGTACATGTACAACAAATATTTGAATCAAGGAGGTCAATTTGATGCTTAAATTAAGATTTCAATTCAAATCCATGTAAAGCTTTGCTATGTCGCTTCTACAAATTTACAAAGGAAAATTGAAACATGCACTTGCTGGTAGAAACTAGAAATCTAGAAAACTAGGTCAATAATAAAACTAATGAATTATACTTACCGAGAATAGAGTTAATAGTCCAGCACTTATTTTTATTGCTTATATGATGCAAAAGCTTTTCTTTTAAATCGGCAACAAGAAAACGCGCACATCTTGTTTATCAGAATTCAAATTCTGACCTAGATCAGCCGCAAACCACTGTACTACAGCGAGCTGCCCAGCAGGAGAATTGCATAACAAGGTTACTATGACTCTGAAACTGACCGGTGATCCAATCCTAATCTAATGCCTCAAAGTTAGATTGGGAGTGGATCACAAATATTACATGAAGAGAAAGAGTTTTAATATAATACTGGCCGCGTTATTTAAACAAAATACATGTGTGCTAATTTAAATATGAATTATTGTATTTGTTTGTCATTTCATTCAACTTCAAAAAAATTGTCTTTGTAACTACCCATACGGAAAAAAAGGGCAAACAAACTACTATAACAAATTACTAACAAACCACTATGGTTTGAAAGTAGTTTAATAGTATAGCAAATCACATGCAAATGAGCTAACAAACTATACTCTAACAAACTACTATCAAACCACTCTTAACAAACTACTATCAAACCACTCTTAACAAACTACTATCAAACCACTCTAACAAACTACTATCAAACCACTCTAACAAACTACTATCAAACCATTCTAACAAACTACTATCAAACCACTCTAACAAACTACTATCAAACCACTCTAACAAACTACTATCAAATCACTGGTAACAAATACATCAGCAAAACACTAGATTTGAATTTTCCTTTACAAATCCACAAGTCTTTGAAAACACCTAAAACAGTCACATTTTGAAATATTCAACAAGTCTTGTTTCAGAGTATTTTAAATTCCAGAATTCACAAGTTTTGCCAATGCAAGTGTGTTACATTCCAACATGTTCCCTTTTGTTTAGGCGATGCAATTCCAAGTCAACGTCCATGTACTTATCACATATTCTCCTTCATGTTGTGCACATCTTCATAGTATTTTTCACCAAAAAAAATGTTCTTCAAGCTAACATTTAAATATTCCCTGTCTCATCTGGCATGGAAAATGCTGCAATATTACCTTTTTTCTGGCCTTATTGCAACTTTGAAAGACATCTTTATTTGTCTTATTTTCAAGTATACACATGTACTTCCCTTAATCCAATGCATAACTGATCTAAACTTGTATAGGAATTATAGGTCAATCTGAAAATAAATAAAATCCCAAAGCTAGTAAAAAGCATACACATCCACATTCACAGAAGGTTTAAATTACCGTAGTCCAGCCTTATTTTAGGTAAAAAGGAACTTCATGACATGCATTAAATACCTCTTCTGTATCCAGATCCATCTTTTAATAATGTTAATTGCTGCTTTTTCCAGTCAGGGATCTTATAGAATGATACTAACAATTTGAATGTCCCTTCACCAGTTCCTTTGTTTCTGACCTGCTTGGTGGTTTGAAAATTGGCGCAAATAGCTAACACCGGATGTAAAGATTAAGCTGTTCTTGGAAACTTCAACAATATTAGATAATTCAACCCTAAACATGTCTGTAAATTAATTTCCCATGTGGTTAGATGCAAATGCTATACTAATAAAACACTGTTGCAAGATACCAAGTCTAACAAACTATAAAGAAATCACAATCAGCATGCAGAAATGAAAGACTAACAAACCACTTTACTTATTTTTAGAAACTGTGGTTTGTTTGTGTAAATTTCATTAAATGCTTTACTATCAAACTACTTTAACAAACCACGAAAATATAGTTTGTTGGTAGTTTGTTGATGGTTTAATAGTAGTTTGTTAAAAATCTTTTCCGTTTGGGTATAGCTGTACATGCTGTATGCATTTTAATTATTAAAACTTAATTTTTCTGTTCTCTTTTAAATAAGACTTTTATTGATGTATGCATGTTGTTTGATTCTCCAAGCTAGAGTGAATTTAAAGCTTGCATTTTCACCTATCATAGATGACAAAGTTAACAAACCATATCAGGATCATACAACCAATTCTGACAAAGTTAACAAATCATATACAACTCATGATTCTCAACAGAGAAGTTAACAGATCATGTGTAACTCGTATGGAGTTTAAAGACAAAGTTAAGAAACCACATCAAAATCACAAACTTTTAGCAGTTAAGTTAACGAATCATTTCAAACTCATGTTCCTTTGTTTTCTAAGTTAATGGCACATGTCAGAATTGCAAGAAAATCATAGCAGACTCGTTCCCCAGAAACAAACCACATCAGGATCATACTTCCTTATTTGTCATCTATGATTTCAGTACGATCCATTTAATAGATCATGTCTAAATCATAGTTCAAAATCATGAATTTGTGAGTTTGATATGATTTGTACGTGATTTTGGCATGATTTTTTAAGAAAAGTTTTTGTTTGGGGAAATATCCACTTGCCCGATCGGACAAGTACACTGATAGTTTCACTTGCCCGAACTGAGAATTTACTTGTCCCGGGCAATCGGACAACCGTTAATGTCAATCCCTGTATTGCCTTTTTAGCTCACCTGAGCCAAAGGCTCAAGTGATCTTTTCTGATCACAATTTGTCCGTTGTCTGTCGTCGTTGTTGTCGTTGTCGTCGTCGTCGTTGTTGTTAACTTTTCACATTTTCATCTTCTTCTCAAGAACCACTGCGCCAATTTCAACCAAACATGCTTAACCTTGGGTAAAGGGGATTCAAGTTTGTTCAAATGAAGGGTCACACCCTTTTCCAAGGGGAGATAATTATGAATTAGAGAAAAATTGATGGCATTTTTAAAAAATCTTCTCCTCAAGAACCACTGGGCCAGGAAAGATGAAACTCATGTGGAATCATCCTCAAGTAGTGTAGATTTAAATTTGTTCAAATCATGACCCCGGGGGGTAGGGTGGGGCCAAAATGGCCGATCAAAGTTTTACATAGGAATATGTAGGAAAAATCTTTAAAAATTGTCTTTTCAAGAACCACTGGGCCAGGAAAGATGAAACTCATGTGGAATCATCCTAAGGTAGTGTAGATTCAAATTTGTTCAAATCATGACCCCCGTGGGTAGGGTGGGGCCAAAATGGCCGATCAAAATTTAACATAAGAATATATAGGAAAAATCTTTAAAAATCTTCTTCTCAAGAACCACTGGGCCAGGAAAGATGAAATTCCTGTGGAATCATCCTCAACCTAGTGTAGATTCAAATTTGTTCAAATCATGACCCCTGGGTGTAGGTTGGGGCCAAAATGGCTGATCAAAGTTTTACATAGGAATATATAGGAAAAATCTTTAAAAGTCTTCTTCTCAAGAACCACTGAACCAGGAAAGAAGAAACTCATGTGGAATCATCCTCAGGTAATGTAGATTCAAGTTTGTTCAAATCATGACCCCTGGGGGTAGGGTGGGGCCAAATGGCCGATAAAAGTTTTAAATAGGAATATATAGGGAAACCTTTTAAAATCTTCTTTTCAAGTAGTTCAAAGCCATGCTTAGTGATATTTATAGGGAATCATCCTCAGATAGTGTAGATTTTAGTTTGTTCAAATCATGACCCCCTGAGGTGTTAAAATTTAAGCCTCCTTCCCCCCTCCCCGCCCTCAGTAAACTTTCAGTTCTGATCTGATATGCGCCAATTGCTCAGGTGAGCGATGTGGCTCCTGGGCCTCTTGTTTAAATTTGACAATGACAAATTGTGGTTAGGAAATATTGTTATCTTCCTTGAATTCCTCCTGTTTAAATTTATCTGCTCACAACAAAGGTAAAAGGGCAAAAATAGAACCGAGACAAATATTTCATTTTTTTTATGTCATAAACTGCCATGATTGCATTCAGAAAAGTTCACATAGCATGGTACTGTAAAATTACATGTTTTGATGGGGTAAATTTTTGTGGTTTGAGAAAAAATTCGTAAATGAGGAATAGATTTAATGGTTCAAAGATTCAACCCTGAAACTGTAGGTTTTTAGCTCTACTGGTCAGAGACCAGAAGAGCTTATGCGATAGTAAGGTGTCCGTCGTCCGTCCGTCTGTCTAGCTGTCTGTCCGTCTGTCTGTAAACAATTTTTCAAAACGCTACTCCTCCTACAGTTTGGGTCTGATTTTAATATAACTTGGCACACAAGTAGACTACACTAAGATACATAAAATAGTGCATCGGTTTTTGATTTCTTTGAACGGTGTTGCCATGGTTACTAAAAATAGAATTTTCTGTGAAATTCCTTTAAAATGCTACTACTCCTACAGTTTAGGTCTGATTTTAATATAACTTGGCACACAAGTAGACTTATACACTAAGATACATAAAATAGTGCATTGGTTTTTAGCTCTGCTGGTCAGAGACCAGAAGAGCTTATGCGATAGTAATGCGTCCGGCATCCGTCCGTCTGTCTGTCTAGCTGTCCGTCTGTCTGTAAACAATTTTTCAAAACGCTACTCCTCCTACAATTTTAGTCTGATTTCAATATAACTTGGTACACAAGTAGACTACTCTAAGATACATAAAATAGTGCATCAGTTTTTGATTTCGATGAACGGTGTTGCCATGGTTACTTAAAATAGAATTTTCTGTGAAATTCCTTTAAAATGCTACTCCTTCTACAGTTTTGATCTGATTTCAGTATTACTTGGCACAAAAGTAGACTACACTAAGATACATAAAATAGTGCATCGGTTTTTGATTTCGATGAACGGTGTTGCCATGGTTACTAAAAATAGAAATTTTTGAGAAATTACTTTAAAACGCTACTCCTTCTACAGTTTTAGTCTGATTTCAATATTACTTGGCACAGAAGTAGACTACACTAAGTTACATAAAATAGTGCATCGGTTTTTGATTTTGATGAACGGTGTTGCCATGGTTACTAAAAATAGAATTTTCTGTGAAATTCCTTTAAAATGCTACTCCTTCTACAGATTTAGTCTGATTTCAATATTACTTGGCACACAAGTAGACCACACTTTGATACATAAAATGGTGCATCAGTTTTTGATTTCGATGAACGGTGTTGCCATGGTTACTAAAATAAGAATTTTCTGTGAAATTCCTTTAAAATGCTTCTCCTTCTACAGTCTTAGATCTGATTTCAATATTACTTGGCACATAAGTTGACTACTCTAAGATACATAAAATAGTGCATAGGTTTTTGATTTCGATTAACGGTGTTGCCATGGTTACTAAAAATGTGAAATTCCTTTAAAATGCTACTCCGTCTACAATTTTGATCTGATTTCAATATTACTTGGCACACAAGTAGACTACACTAAGATACATAAAATTGTGCATCGGGTTTTGATTTCGATGAAGGGTGTTGCCATGGTTTTTATTATATAAGAATTTTCTGTGAAATTCCTTTAAAATGCTTCTCCTTCTACAGTTTTAGATCTGATTTCAATATTACTTGGCACACATGTAGACTACACTAAGATACATAAAGTTGTGCATCGGTTTTTGATTTCAATGAACGGTATTGCCATGGTTACTAAAAATAGAATTTTCTTAGAAATACCTTTAAAATGCTACTCCTTCTACAGTTTTAGTCTGATTTCAATATTACTTGGCACATAAGACAAGTAGACTACACTAATACCCCATTCATACGACATGATTTGCATACCTCAGTATATTTTACACATAAGTAAATTTACTCCCTAGTGCAATTTTTGTCGTATGAACTGATTTACTCATATGCAAATTCTGCACAGCTGAGTTAATTTTTACACCTGGTCAGGACTAGGTGCAAATTAACTTTTGCATACACTTTGTAGCAAATTATTAGTTCATGCGTGTAAATTTTGTCGTCTGAACACGCAGCAAATTTACTTATGTGTGCATTTTGTTTTGTTTATTGCATAAATCTCCATTTTGAGTTTTGTTTTGGTTGTGTATGCATCGGCGAGTAATACTGAGTATATCAGTTGGTAAGAATGATGGCTAGAAGGGAGAGCCATCATCTCCTCTGAGATTAATTTTCGAATTTGCAAAAAACGAGGGCATTTTGCATCCTTTCTGGCAAACCTATTTTTATGTCTCTAAAGATAAAGCTGTGGTCGCAAACAAGTGCCCTGTAGGATCAATAAGTACTGTCCTTACTATACAAGTTCTCTCCCTTGAAATGCTCCGGAGCTATGATAGGAACATACATTCCATCAATTGCTCGGGCCCCATTACCGTTTAGCTGTTGATGACTTTCTTCTTTCTTTCACCGTTCACGGTAGCCTAGTGGTAGAGCGTTCGCTTCGTGATCGGGAGGCCCGGGTTCGATTCTCGTTCGTGGCGCCGCGTCAAACCTAAGACGTAAAAATAGGTAGTGACTGTTCCTTCGCCAAGCGCTCGGCATCAGAAGTGAAAGTTACGGGTCTTTCGGATATGACCTTAAATACGTAGGTCCCGTGTCACGGTAGGCGCTGGCACGATAAAGAACCCTCACTGCTCAATGACCTGAGTGCCGAGTATAGGTCTAAATTTGAAGCCCTTCACCGGCATACGGTGACGTCTCCATATGAGTGAAAAATTCTCGAGAGGGACGTTAAACAATATACAATGAATCAATCAATCTTCCTCCTTTCTCTGTTTTTAATTCAGGCAAGCTACTCACATATAAGTTAATGTTACAGGAATTTCAATAAAATCGTTGAAAGTAAGCATTCGTAATTAAGTATCCTCCTTGGCATCTGATCCCAGCATGAATATCCAGGGTTTCATGTTAATTTCCTATTCACATATTTGTATTGTCCAAAAATTTTAGATATCGATCACTGTAAGTTTTTGTCATCCTTTTCATTTTCCTTGAAAATACAAAATTACCCGACTGACGTTTTTCATCCTAATTATTGGTCATTTGTATAAACATGTACACTGAATTGAAGACGTATTTTTTCGCTATTTCCCGATCATGACAACGAGCACATGGCAGGTGTGACCGGTCGGAAGGGGATTCTCACTCCTCCAAGACACCTGATCCCACCTCTGATGTTTTGGAAGTCCGTATTTGCTCTGCTTCTATTTTGTATTGTTTTTATGGACTTTGATATTGAATACTGTTTGTTATCCCCATATCATTCGTGTATCATATTCAAGCGGATATTTTATAATGACTTCACACACTTGATGTACTGTAGATTTCCCAACACCAAAAAAAAAAAAATTCAAATTGTCCTATTTCTGCTGAAGACGTCAATCAGTAGATGGCAACAGTCACCTTTTTCTGTACACCCAAAAGCTCTTCTACAGTCTTTAGGACCGAGGCCAAAACATTTTCCAAAATCAAACAACAATTTTAATAAATTTTCCTTCTTCGTGTGTAAATTCTTCTGACTACCATTCTTTGTTCTAAAAATCCTTAAGATCCTTTTCTGTCGTACCAATAAAATAGTGGATCGGATTTCCACCCTAGTCTTTAAGGAACATTCAAAAGTTAGTCTTTTACCCAAACAGTAAAGAAATACACATTTCTATGACAATGCACAATTCTTAATATGTCTTATCTCCATATTTTATATGAAAATATGAGGATCTACTATAACAGTACATAAATCTCGTCTGAACGCATAGCAAATTAACTTTTACTTACGTGTGTAAATTTACTTATATGTAAATTTGCACACATAAGCATATTTTCATCGTATGAATGGGGTATAACTAACATATAATAATTGGTTTATGATAATTACAAACCAGTAGAGCTACAGTCTCGACAGAGACTTCTGGTTGATTTCAATGAACGGTGTTGCAGTGGTTACTAAAAATAGAATTTTCTGTGAAATTCCTTTAAAATGCTATTCCTCCTACAGTTTTGATCTGATTTCAATATAACTTGGCACACAAGTAGACTACACTAAGATTACATAAAATAGTGCATCAGTTTAAGATTTCGATGAACGGTGTTGCCATGGTTACTAAAAATAGAATTTTCTGTGAAATTCCTTTAAAACGCTACTTCTCCTACAGTTTTGGTCTGATTTTAATATAACTTGGCACACAAGTAGACTACACTAAGATACATAAAATAGTGCATTGGTTTTTGATTTCAATGAACGGTGTTGCAGTGGTTACTAAAAATAGAATTTTCTGTGAAATTCCTTTAAAACGCTACTCCTCCTACAGTTTTGGTCTGATTTTAATATAACTTGGCACACAAGTAGACTACACTAAGATACATAAAATAGTGCATTGGTTTTTGATTTCAATGAACGGTGTTGCAGTGGTTACTAAAAATAGAATTTTCTGTGAAATTCCTTTAAAATGCTATTCCTCCTACAGTTTTGATCTGATTTCAATATAACTTGGCACACAAGTAGACTACACTAAGATTACATAAAATAGTGCATCAGTTTAAGATTTCGATGAACGGTGTTGCCATGGTTACTAAAAATAGAATTTTCTGTGAAATTCCTTTAAAACGCTACTTCTCCTACAGTTTTGGTCTGATTTTAATATAACTTGGCACACAAGTAGACTACACTAAGATACATAAAATAGTGCATTGGTTTTTGATTTCAATGAACGGTGTTGCCGTGGTTACTAAAAATAGAATTTTCTGTGAAATTCCTTTAGAACGCTACTCCTTCTACAGTTTTGGTCTGATGGCAATGGCTTCTTTTCTCATCCTTTGTTATAAGTACAAACCAGTAGAGCTACAGTCTCGACAGAGACTTCTGGTTAATTCCTCTTCCCAAAAACAAAATTCAAATCATCACTATCTCCTTAAGCATACACATGAATTTGTGATTTTAAATTGATTTTTACATTTATTTATAATTTTATCCAAAAGATAAATGATAGAAATATATAAAGATTAAAGCTGTATTTGAAATCTTTGTAACTACAAAGTAATGAAAATGACAACATGAGGACACTGTAATACAACATATCATGTTTATTTGAAGGTGACCTACTGCTGTCTGGATTGTCAGAAGAGAGCGTGGGAGGGGTACCACCAGACCCTGTGTATGGGATCATCAAGGGACGATGAGAACCACCCTCTAAATAAACTACAGGACATGTGGAGGTAAAGTATACAAGTGTTTGTATATCTGTGTATGGGGTCATCCAGGGACTACGAGAACCACCCTCTAAATAAACTACAGGACATGTGGAGGTAAAGTGTACAAGTGTTTGTACATCTGTGTATGGGGTCATCCAGGGACGACGAGAACCACCCTCTAAATAAACTACAGGACATGTGGAGGTAAAGTATACAAGTGTTAGTACATCTGTGTATGGGATCATCAAGGGACTACGAGAACCACCCTCTAAATAAACTACAGGACATGTGGAGGTAAAGTATGCAAATGCAGGGATCGACACTAACTTTAAGACCATAGTTGTCAGCAGGGCTAGCGATTTCTAATTTCTACTAGCCCTGTTCATGTATTAGTTGTCCAGCAGCCGAAGGCTAGCGGCCGAGTCGCGAAGCGATGACGGGGGTAGGTGCGGGAGGGGTTTCCCACTCCTGCTGGTGGGGTGTACGGGGGGCATCCCCCGGGAAATTTTGAAAATAGAGATGCCAAATCCTGCATTTTGGCTGTATTTAGGGTAAAAATTATATGTCACTCTATGATTGTACCTAAGACATTTTTCTATTAAAAAAAGTCAACATCTATAATCATTTATGGTATTTCGAATCACTTTTAAAGTTTTCATTTTGACTTACAAAAATAATAATTATGTTGATAAAACATGTTTGAAAATAGATTTAACAATTATCAGGTACATTGTGGGTAATTGATAATTATTTCTGTTGCTCTGAGTGAGTATTTGGTAAAAATCTTAGTAGTCCTGCAGGGCAAGTTTAAAGGCATGTTTAGTAGCCCGACCTCAATATTCAGTTGTCCCAGGCCAGCGGGTTACCGTTAGTGTCGATCCCTGAAATGTTGTACATCTGTGATTTTATAATGTTTAGAAAAGAGCACCTCATAGAGCACCATCCACAGAAATAAAAATTAAACTAGATACTAAGTTTGTTTTCAGAATGTAGTGTGTTTTAATTACAGATATTTACAAACTGTCGTTTGATACATGTAAATATATGTATGATTGGGTACATTTTCTTGTCGAAAAAGAATAATACAAGAACATTTCTGTTTTAATGTCCTTTATTAATGATCAAAGTATAGACTCAGGAAATGAGAAGTATTTGTTTAAAAATGAAAATGTGTTTACTTATTTTTAGAAACATTCACTTCCCACCAGAGACCTGTAGTATAATGCTTATAGCAAAGATGATAGCAAAGGTTAAACAGGTAAGATTATAGCAAAGAGGATAGCCAAAATCAAACAGGTAAGATTATAGCAAAGATGATAGCTAAAGCCAAACAGGTAAGATTATAGCAAAGATGATAGCTAAAGTCAAACAGGTAAGATTATAGCAAAGATGATAGCTAAAGTCAAACAGGTAAGATTATAGCAAAGATGATAGCTAAAGTCAAACAGGTAACATTATAGCAAAGGTGATAGCTAAAGTTAAACAGGTAAGATTATAGCAAAGATGATAGCCAAAGTCAAACAGGTAAGATTATAGCAAAGATGATAGCTAAAGTCAAACAGGTAAGATTATAGCAAAGATGATAGCTAAAGCCAAACAGGTAAGATTATAGCAAAGATGATAGCAAAGGTTAAACAGGTAAGATTATAGCAAAGATGATAGCTAAAGTCAAACAGGTAAGATTATAGCAAAGATGATAGCTAAAGTCAAACAGGTAAGATTATAGCAAAGATGATAGCTAAAGTCAAACAGGTAAGATTATAGCAAAGATGATAGCTAAAGTCAAACAGGTAAGATTATAGCAAAGATGATAGCTAAAGTCAAACAGGTAAGATTATAGCAAAGATGATAGCCAAAGTCAAACAGGTAAGATTATAGCAAAGATGATAGCCAAAGTCAAACAGGTAAGCTTATAGCAAAGATGATAGCTAAAGTCAAACAGGTAAGATTATAGCAAAGATGATAGCTAAAGTCAAACAGGTAAGATTTTAGCAAAGATGATAGCTAAAGTCAAACAGGTAAGATTATAGCAAAGATGATAGTTAAAGTCAAACAGGTAAGATTATAGCAAAGATGATAGCTAAAGTCAAACAGGTAAGATTATAGCAAAGATGATAGCCAAAGTCAAACAGGTAAGCTTATAGCAAAGATGATAGCCAAAGTCAAACAGGTAAGATTATAGCAAAGATGATAGCCAAGGTTAAACAGGTAAGATTATAGCAAAGATGATAGCCAAAGTCAAACAGGGAAGATTATAGCAAATATGATAGCCAAAGTCAAACAGGTAAGATTATAGCAAAGATGATAGCCAAGGTTAAACAGGTAAGATTATAGCAAAGATGATAGCCAGAGTCAAACAGGTAAGATTATAGCAAAGATGATAGCTAAAGTCAAACAGGTAAGATTATAGCAAAGATGATAGCCAAAGTCAAACAGGTAAGATTATAGGATTATAGAATGTCAAAATGTTTTTTAAAGATTTTTACAATTGCAAAATACCATATAAGTAGAAATTTTAGCCAGGATTTAATTTTGGCATTATTAGCAAGGCTGTTGAGATCACTAAAATTGAATATCCCTAAAAATTAATGGTGTGTTATTTGTACTAGCTTCTTAAGCATTTTAAAATTGCTAAAATTATTTCTCGCTAAAAATAAAATACCAGTTTTTAAGGAGAAATTGCTAAATTTGCATCTCGCTAAAATTTCCACTTATACGGTGCATGTCTGTTAAATGTTTTTACTAGGGATGGGTATCGCCAAAAATTTCGTATCGTGATATATCACGACTTTTTCCCACAATATCACGATAATATCATGATATTTTTAAAAGCAGTTTTTACAATGATTTTATATGAAAAGTCATCATTTTTCTAAAAAGATATGCTAGAAAAACAAAATTTTACTTTCTTGAAATTTTGATGTATATAAAATCAATTATGTTTGGATGGTAAGATGCCGTTCTTTTCACTTTTTACAACATTTTTTATACTTTCTGTAACTGTAATTTGAAAGATTGAACAAATAAATGAATAATTTCTGGACCTTATAATATGTACCTAAAGACCGGTATTTAGGTTTCCGTATCACGATACGTATCACGCAACAAAAAAATTGCGATATACCAGTATACCGATAAGATCGCACATCCCTAGTTTTTACACACCATGTAAAATATTAAGTCAGTTAAATGTATATTACACATCATAAAGTTAAATGTGTCAGATACAGTGTGATATGCCTCTGAATTAATTATTGTCATTTTTGCAGAGTAAAGACAAATCAGACATTTTGGAGAAGTTTTCCCGCTTTGTAAAAACAACAGTGAATGAAGAAGAAGCACTTGTTCATAAAATGATGGGGGACAAATTTCAAGTGAGGAAAAACAACACAGTTGAATAGTTTATATTTTCTTTAAGTTTGTGTGTTTTATGTAGGTCTTTTTTGTTTTATTTAAGAAATAAACAACAATGTTAAAAAGTTCTCTGGGAAATGAACTTTTAGTTGGTCACAAAATAAAATCCTGTGAAGCCCAAGGGGCTTCTCAGTAGATTTGATCACGTACCAACTAAAAGTTCATTTCCCAGTGAATGTTATAACATTGTTGTTTTTTACTTATATTTACATTTGAGATGAATAAATTCTGAGTAAAACTTCATTTATTACATGAACACGCTGCCGCATTGCTATGTTGTGATGCACAATGACCTATGGTGCCTAGAAGTTGTTTGGTTTGAAAGTTTGTGTCGCTCCAACATTTGAATATATTTACAATGATGTTCAGCAGTCCAGTTCAGGAATTCTGTGTTTATAATGCAAGAACAATAATCCCCACTGAGAATAATCTTACTATTTTATGAGTTTTGATATTTTTGAAGTCAAAAGCGGCGTTATCCCC